GCAGAGATAAGGCAGGCAGGGAACCTGCCTTAGCCCCACTATGACTGAGAAACACCTGAGGTAAGTTATGCCTGGATGGAACTCAAACCCAAAATCCCTTCCCTGCATCCCAGCCCTGAGCCTGCTTCGGTAGCCTGAACCCCCCATTTCTGGCCCCAACCCGGAGCCTAGGGGAAACCCAGACCCTCTGTGTCCCACCTGCTGGGCTTTGTGTTGTGGCTTGCAACTTATTTTTTCCTATGGATCAATGAGCCCTGATTAAAAAAAAAAAGGTTCCCCACCCCTGCTCTAGGTACTTACTATCTCTTTTGGTCTTGACTCTGTAATGGGATTGATATGATCAAGATCCAAAGCTTGGACAGCTCTTACTTCAGAATCATGGTCTCTCTATGCTCTCTGGGACAGGGAGCATACTTCTGACTTAAAACATGTAGCACACTGTTGGTATGTTGGGTGTTGTTGTAATAGGAATGATTAACTATAATAATAAACATGGCATTATCTTGTAATTAAATTACCTAGCTGCCATAATGATAGGTACTACGGGAGTTAATAAAATAATAATATTGAATTATAACTAAACAGAGAATGACATGAGTATTTTCAGTATTCATGGTTTTTCAGGAATTTGAATCTATAACAGAGATTTGTCTTGGGGTTTGAATATCATGAATACTGTATTTTTATTTTTTTAAGGAGATTTTTATTAACACACTCAAAAAAAAAAACGAAAATTTATGATTCACAAATGTTTCGAAATAGAAGTAACAAATGATTTTAATTAAAATAGGAAACTATGTTAAGATCCTAGTTACACAATTTATTTTTAAAAATATTGTGAACTGGGAGCTGCCTTGGCAAATATGCCAGATTCTTAAACTTGATTGCAAGCCAATGTAATGTGAACAGAACTTACAATCAATCTTTTACAGTCACTTTTGAAAATTTCATAAAAAGTAAAAACCTTTGAAGTGACTGACTACTTTAAATAAACATTTTGCATGAATTTCCATGTTCAATTTTACTAGCGCAGTTTAACGTAAGAGGTTCTGTGTAGCCATGTATGTATATTTCTGTGTTTTAAGGAAATAATTATTTCCTTTGATTTTTTTTTAAGATAGGGATGTTAGTGAGTAGTTGACTACCTAATAAGCATAAGCTTACCAGATAGTCGAGTGGAGTATCAACTACTCACTTCCTTCCCCCCGCCCACTGCCTCTATGAGAGGCACCAAAAGGGGTGGGGGACAGGAGCGGGTGCTGGCGGCTGGTGCAGGAGCAGCCTCTGTTTGCGGTGGCCAAGGCTGGCCGCAGGCAGGAGATGTTCTGACAGCAGCCCCTGTTCGTGACAGACAGGGCTGGCCACTGCCAATAGAGGCTCAACCCGAGCCAGGACTGAGCAGTCCCAACTCACACTGGCTCAGGATGCTGTGCCTCTGCATTTTAAATATAGTAAAAGCTCAGTGGCTCTAACTACATTTAAAATGCAGAGCTGCAGCATGGATGGCTCCTGGAGCCGGCACAAGCCGGGACTACTTAGTCCCTCCTGGAGCTACCTCCACTGAGGTTCTGCAGAGTGGCCCTTATCGATTAATTGTGTAGTCGATACAAGTTGTGTCAACTACACGATTAGATACATAACTGCAATTTAACATCCTTATTTTAAGACTTAAAAATATCCAAATTTTGCTGTTATTTCTCCTAACATAACATGACTTCAGTTTAATTTTCATGTACTGGCAAAGAGAACTGGGCCAAGTACACTGATAACAATTAGTGTTTTCTGTTCATGGGAATATTCGCATCTCGATAGTAAACTGGGAATTTTGCTAATACAATTACATATTCACCAATATCTGAGAAAGGCAGGTTGCATTACTATATTAAATAATATAACAAAAATCCTTTTGAAATGCTTGGGTGCATGAGAAAAGGGATGCTGAATTGCTTCCATGCTGTACCCCTTACAACATTCAATACGTTCACTTATAGTGAACTCTGGGTAACTTTATTCTTTGTACAAAAGGGATAAAAATGCTAAAATGTTCGATTGTTCAACCCCCTCACTCAGCTAGTGAAAATTATTTTGCTGTACTCTTTATATAGAAGTTTAATTATGTATGAATGTATTAGGGCTACAGATCATCCTTTGTAATCAGATTTTCACCTATTTATTCTCTGCAAATCTGTGGATAGTTGATAATGCACTTTGCTTTAAGTATCCTTCATATATGGGATACAGTATACTTGTAAAATGGCATTGCCTATATATATCCATATAGTAGTTTTTATCCAGAGTGACTGATTGTAAAGCATTCTACAAATTGATTGTACAGATATACAAGAGCCCAATGTTATTACACCATTTTCTTCACAGTAAGCTATAATGTGGCCAAAGGGAGCTGTGGGGATGGTGTCTGTGGGTGCCAGCAGCATGTACCACAAAGAGCCACATGGCCATGGCTGCACCAAGGACCTGGACATGCCATCTGCTTCAGGGAGCATCGCAGAGATAAGGCAGGCAGGGAACCTGCCTTAGCCCCACTATGACTGAGAAACACCTGAGGTAAGTTATGCCTGGATGGAACTCAAACCCAAAATCCCTTCCCTGCATCCCAGCCCTGAGCCTGCTTCGGTAGCCTGAACCCCCCATTTCTGGCCCCAACCCGGAGCCTAGGGGAAACCCAGACCCTCTGTGTCCCACCTGCTGGGCTTTGTGTTGTGGCTTGCAACTTATTTTTTCCTATGGATCAATGAGCCCTGATTAAAAAAAAAAAGGTTCCCCACCCCTGCTCTAGGTACTTACTATCTCTTTTGGTCTTGACTCTGTAATGGGATTGATATGATCAAGATCCAAAGCTTGGACAGCTCTTACTTCAGAATCATGGTCTCTCTATGCTCTCTGGGACAGGGAGCATACTTCTGACTTAAAACATGTAGCACACTGTTGGTATGTTGGGTGTTGTTGTAATAGGAATGATTAACTATAATAATAAACATGGCATTATCTTGTAATTAAATTACCTAGCTGCCATAATGATAGGTACTACGGGAGTTAATAAAATAATAATATTGAATTATAACTAAACAGAGAATGACATGAGTATTTTCAGTATTCATGGTTTTTCAGGAATTTGAATCTATAACAGAGATTTGTCTTGGGGTTTGAATATCATGAATACTGTATTTTTATTTTTTTAAGGAGATTTTTATTAACACACACAAAAAAAAAACGAAAATTTATGATTCACAAATGTTTCGAAATAGAAGTAACAAATGATTTTAATTAAAATAGGAAACTATGTTAAGATCCTAGTTACACAATTTATTTTTAAAAATATTGTGAACTGGGAGCTGCCTTGGCAAATATGCCAGATTCTTAAACTTGATTGCAAGCCAATGTAATGTGAACAGAACTTACAATCAATCTTTTACAGTCACTTTTGAAAATTTCATAAAAAGTAAAAACCTTTGAAGTGACTGACTACTTTAAATAAACATTTTGCATGAATTTCCATGTTCAATTTTACTAGCGCAGTTTAACGTAAGAGGTTCTGTGTAGCCATGTATGTATATTTCTGTGTTTTAAGGAAATAATTATTTCCTTTGATTTTTTTTTAAGATAGGGATGTTAGTGAGTAGTTGACTACCTAATAAGCATAAGCTTACCAGATAGTCGAGTGGAGTATCAACTACTCACTTCCTTCCCCCCGCCCACTGCCTCTATGAGAGGCACCAAAAGGGGTGGGGGACAGGAGCGGGTGCTGGGGAGAGCCAGTTTAAAAGTTGGTTCCCCGACCATCTCTGCGATGCTATCAGAGAGATAGCATCAGAGGCAGTAGGGAGGGGAATAGGGAATGTGGCTGCAAAGTAGCTGCTGTGTGCATTCTGACAGCAGCCCCTGTTCGTGACAGACAGGGCTGGCCACTGCCAATAGAGGCTCAACCCGAGCCAGGACTGAGCAGTCCCAACTCACACTGGCTCAGGATGCTGTGCCTCTGCATTTTAAATATAGTAAAAGCTCAGTGGCTCTAACTACATTTAAAATGCAGAGCTGCAGCATGGATGGCTCCTGGAGCCGGCACAAGCCGGGACTACTTAGTCCCTCCTGGAGCTACCTCCACTGAGGTTCTGCAGAGTGGCCCTTATCGATTAATTGTGTAGTCGATACAAGTTGTGTCAACTACACGATTAGATACATAACTGCAATTTAACATCCTTATTTTAAGACTTAAAAATATCCAAATTTTGCTGTTATTTCTCCTAACATAACATGACTTCAGTTTAATTTTCATGTACTGGCAAAGAGAACTGGGCCAAGTACACTGATAACAATTAGTGTTTTCTGTTCATGGGAATATTCGCATCTCGATAGTAAACTGGGAATTTTGCTAATACAATTACATATTCACCAATATCTGAGAAAGGCAGGTTGCATTACTATATTAAATAATATAACAAAAATCCTTTTGAAATGCTTGGGTGCATGAGAAAAGGGATGCTGAATTGCTTCCATGCTGTACCCCTTACAACATTCAATACGTTCACTTATAGTGAACTCTGGGTAACTTTATTCTTTGTACAAAAGGGATAAAAATGCTAAAATGTTCGATTGTTCAACCCCCTCACTCAGCTAGTGAAAATTATTTTGCTGTACTCTTTATATAGAAGTTTAATTATGTATGAATGTATTAGGGCTACAGATCATCCTTTGTAATCAGATTTTCACCTATTTATTCTCTGCAAATCTGTGGATAGTTGATAATGCACTTTGCTTTAAGTATCCTTCATATATGGGATACAGTATACTTGTAAAATGGCATTGCCTATATATATCCATATAGTAGTTTTTATCCAGAGTGACTGATTGTAAAGCATTCTACAAATTGATTGTACAGATATACAAGAGCCCAATGTTATTACACCATTTTCTTCACAGTAAGCTATAATTTGTTGGTCTCTCTATTGCTCACAGATCATTCTTTATGACAGAAAAATTACCTGAGAGTATCTCCACTTCTGGCACTTGATGCTAGCTGGTTTAGGCAAACCTGGCATAATATTTTCCAGGTGATCCAGGATTATTGCTTGCACCTCTTCCTTATTCCATTCTAGATGTGCAATTCCAAATGGTACGCTGGTATGCACAACAACAGATGGGCCAACTTCAGAAGACTCTATGGGTGACATAGAAGGAAAGACAATTGCTTTCAAAAAATAGTCCCACAACTTTCACTGAATCAATGAAGGATTGTTATACTGCTCCTCAATTTAGAAATTTAGTTGTAGAAATTGATATTAGATGTTACGAATATCAATCTGCCTAAAATTAAATAGAGTATGTCACAGCCACCACCTTTAAAACGAAAAGTTACTCTATATCTTTAGGAGAGACTGTAAACACTTAAAGCTACATTTTCAAAGAGCTTTCAGTTATGCCCTCAACTTATTGGATGCACACTCTTGTTCATTCAGGATTCTGTGCTATATTGAGTAGGTATATATAGATAAGATACCATTTATGATGTAGACAACCATTGACTGTAGATGAAATTGAAAGAGAGGTCTTCAAGTTAAGCGAAACTTATACTGTACTAAATCAGGACAGCAGTACTAACAACTTCATTAGTTAGTGCAGAATGTTCTTCTTTATTAGGGTTTAATACCATGACTTAGTTTGATAGATATACAATGTGAGCTTGGGTTCTCATCTCTTCAGAGATGTAAAGTCATTTGCTGCTCATTTAGAATTCTGCACAAGTGTGTTTCAGAAAATGGATGAGGATAAGCAAGAAGTTGGATGTTTTGCTCTACAGGGAAATGTGAAGCTCTTGTGGAAACTAACACATTCCCTCATGGATGTAATTTGGATCTGGCTAATTTCCAGGGATCTGATAGGATCTTCTTAGGGATTGCTGTTGTGGGGAACAAGGGGGATGTGAGGTTATTGCAAGGGAGGTGGGTCAGGAATCCTATGTTCAGGGAATCTTGCCTGTGAGTTCAGTTTCTTTGCCTAGTAATATTTCTCTCCCTTTGCAAGTCTATTCACTGAGATCAACTTTCCTCTGATACTGGGTTTTAAGCATTTTAAGAATAAGAAAAAGCAGGCAGCAAGTGTCTGCAATTGAGTTTGATAGTGGGGACTATAACAACCTGCTGCGGTCCTGCTCCCTTGGCAGACTCCAGCCTGCTATGATGGGATTCAACAGCTGAATCCTATATGGTGCTAAGCTCCCTGGGTAGATATAGACTATTCCTGGATTTGGGTCTCTAAGGTGCATTCCCTCAGACCAGACCTATGTCTGACATCAGTCTGCCTAGTCCATAGAACCAGTCCTTGAGGCCTCCTGGGGCTTCCAGTTGCTTGGACACATTCCCTTCAGAGTCCCCATGGCTGGAGAATTCTGGTTTGCCTAGTTACAGCTTTCAGGGCCCATGTGACAGTAAAGCAAGGAAACACAGACTTAGCAAATGGTTTTTCCACAAACCCCATCTTGTTTCCCCCCCCCCCCCCCCCCCCGAAAAGCACAAGAGCATTACAAATCTATGTAAAACAAACAAATATCTTTAATACACTGCCCCATCCGAGAGTGTTCCCCCCTCTTCCTCCTGTGTGAGTCTCAGTCTCTGGGTTTGGTTCCAATCCATAGTGCTGTCCCCAGGCGGCTGGCTCTGGGGTTCCCACTTCAGAGGTGGTCTTCCCCAGAACCATAGATGATGGAAGTCATGGGGTTCCCAGCTTGGAGGCAGTCTGGCAGGCAGGCTGCCATGACGCTATGAGAACAAATCAGAAGGAAAACAGATTGGATTCTGTCAGATCACAGATATATTTCCTAATTGTCACAGGGACTCTTTGTATGGAGCACTTTTGTGGGAGGATGGTCCTTTTCATAAGACCTTTACAAGCAGAAGCTGATAGACTAGAGGAAGATTTATTGTAAAGAGGGGAGGAAAGGGGATGGAACTGCACTGTGAAGGAGAGCATGCTACAAGTTGCCAGAGAAACATACGCAGCCTCGATGCATTATAATAAACATACTCACCTTGGGAGCTAAGAGTTAAGTCAAATGAGCCTTGACACAGCCTACTGTCAGTGACCTATGTGTTTTACATAGGCCACCAAATACAGAAAATAATGTAAAAACATGAAGCTTCTCAGGCAGAAAAGGAGAACAATAAAAAACTCCTATTAATTAAAGTGAAAAGATTTGGCATGTCACTATATCACAAAGCAATGAGAAACAGCAATCAGGAGATGTTATTGTTGGGAACAGCAGAAGAGAACTTCCTGTAATTTCGGCTGAAACCTAAACAGCTCTGAACTTAAAACAGTGGTTATTGGATTTTTTTAAAATTAAGGGCTTATTCTTGATTGTTAAAGTTCAAAAACGCAAACCAGAGTCTTAGAAAATGGTCAATTTCATTGTAGTTCAGTAAACACAGTATTTATAGAGTATGTTAGTTCACAAAAGTAAAATTATACAATGAAATACATTTTTCTGTTACTGCTCTTTTGGTATATGTTGGATTTGGTGCTTCTTTTTAGCTTCTGCAGGTTGTAATCTCACAATTCATTTTTCACAATAAATTTCATATTTGCCTACTTCTAGCCCTACTTGGTTGCCACAGAGTATATAAGTTCTAACCGTGGTGCAACCACACTTTTCTTCTGTCTGTCCATTTAAATGTTCTGGAGTGCAGGTCATAGTAAAATGGAAAACGCACAGGCCTACAGTAGCTAAAGAGGATTGTGATGATGTGTCAAGAACCAGGATTCCTATTGCCATTTTCATCTGTTTCATCATTCTGCTCTCTGAAATGCAGCAGCAAATGCCAAGTGTAATTTAAACAGATAACGTCCAAAACTCTGACACAGATAAGCAGCCACACCCATGACAGCTATGAAAGTATGAGTCAAGAGGGGGGAACCACTTCCTCTTTCAGATCTCAACGTCTGAAGAACTGTATATACTAATGATGTACAACCACAAGTGAGGTGGTGTGCTCTAGGAGCCCTGAGGACCATAAATGATTTGCTTACATATTTACATAATTATATGAGTTCTGTCAATTTATATCCATCCCCTGGTGCATTTAAAACACAGCCTACAAACCTAAAAACTGACTTTTTTCTTTTTTGTCGATCTTTTTCATTCTCTCACCATGTTACTTTCCTTTTCTCATACAACTCTCTCTCTTCCTTTCATTATGTTCTTGTTCCTCTTCCTGTTTCTACCATGGACTATTTTTTTTCTCTGCTCTGCCTTCCTCTCTCTTCTTCCCTTCTGTTCACCCATTGCTCTTTTCCCCTTCTTGTGCCCAGACTAGCATCCACAGTGGATAGTGAGTCAGAGAAAAGAGGATGGGGAAGAAGCTGCTGTTACTTGGAAAAGGATGGAGAAGTGCAGGAGCTGCTGGAAAGTGGAAAGGAAAGGGAACCACTGCTTGTAGAAGTGCTATGGCTTTGCAGGAAAGCACACAACCTGTACCTGGTGTTCAGTGTGCACAGAGAGAGGGGGGATATGTCACTCATCTGGGCTGAATGTGTGATTGTGCATAGTCCTTTTCTGTCAGCGGGCATTTCATTTCAGAAGCAGCTTCTTTACAGTGAGGAACTGTTAACCAAGAGTGAGACACTCCATCTCGCGATGGGATATGTCAGCTGCAGCTTTTGTTTTACTGTAACCAGTCTTCCTCTTGTACATCTTGAAATGCAAATTAGTGTTATGTCCTGAGACATAAAGAGAAAACTAACACAGAAACTGCAAACACACCAAAGAAACCAGAACCAATGTAAAAGTTCAAGGAGTAGTGCAGGGTTTTCTCTAATAATTAATCAGATGCATGTAGGTTTAAGCACACGTAGGAAATAATCCTTCAAAAAGGACAGAAAATTGTTCATTGCACATAGCCATTATATTTCAGGTTGCTCCAAAAGGACAACCTTTGGCGCAATATGAATGGAGCCCTACAAATCTGTAGATACCCACATGTACCCACATCTGAAGATGTGAATACAGATATCCACAGTTCATTTTTATGGATATGAATGCGGATACAGATACAAATTTTGCATCTAGCATCCTGAAATATTGAGGATATCTACTTTATATCTGCAGGTATCTGCATCTACAGATATTGATGTGTATATCCGTGGTTCATTTTTGTGGATACAGATGAGGATGCACATACAAAGTTTGTATCCATGTAGGGCTCTAATTATAAGACTTGAATTGTCATGATAAGCTAGTCAGTATCAGAAAATTAATTTCAAGGTAAATATAAATTTCAGACCAAAAACTGTTTTGTTAAATTATCATTGGAATGACCCAATTGTTTGTCATAGTTTTGACTTATCATAGCCATGTCATCCAAAAAATTATTTGCATCGTTGAAGTGCTGGAACAAAGGAAATACTTAAATTCTCTTTGCTATAATAATAATAATAAATCATTAATGAAGCAGGTATAGTTAGCGGGATAAAGCACTATTGCCTGTGAATTCATCTTTTATAAAATGTATATTCTTAACAAGCAGTACCACCTCTCTCTTGTCTGGTCTGAATTTCAGCCAGCTTACTTCCACCTATCCAAAACACTATCTCATCTATTCAATGGGATATTAGACTGAGCAATCCAATTCACAGGAAAACTTTTAGAATAATGTGCCATCCTTATGTTTGGATAGTCTGGTTTGTCTCAGCTCTGCACAATGCAGTACGAGCACAGATGTGAGATGTAGGTCCAGAAATTCTAAACCCAGAGTCAAAATTCAGTGTGGATGCTCCAGGATGAACTTACAAACACCATACACCGGGGATCTGAGTCCCAGAGAGCTAGGTTTACATTGCATTGTAGTCTGTCATATCTGTTGCCATTTAACCCATATAAGCAGGCTTCAATCTTCTGACCTTCTTTTAGGTAATTTAGCTGTGAGCAGTACAAGGGACATAACTTCTTGCTGCATTTTCCCCCTGATGTTTCACCCTTTGAATTCAGGATCTGCAGCAAATATACTTTTTAAAAGGTGGATTCTGTTCTTTAGCCTCTGGATCTCTCAATAAACCCCCTGACACTGATAACTCCTCTCAAACCCACTGGCTCAATGCCAATAATTCAACTTAACATCTGGCTCTTCAGATCACAAGGGACAAGTGAGAAATGATCCTTGAAAAATA